GGCTTGAAACTGTGTGCAGTAAGCTCAACAAAGTATAATGAATATTAGGTAGAAGGCGATAATCTCTTCCCTTGATCTACTTATGGGCTATGTTCATGTTAATGAACAGCCCAGGATGCTGTTTACCTTCTTTGCTGCCAAGTCACAGTGTTGGCACCTGTTAAGCTTGCTGTCCACCAAGATCCTCAAGTCTTTTTCAGCAGAGCGGCTCCCCAGGGAGTTAGTCCCCTCTGGGTACGCCTGCAAGGGTTTTTTTCCTCCCAGGTGCAGGACTTTGCTTTTGTTGGCTTTCCTAAGGTTCTGATCTACCCATTCATCCAGTCCGTCTGGGTCCCTCTGGATAGCAGCTCTGCCCTTGAGCATATTGATTAGTCTCCCAGCTTGGTGTAATCTACGGGGTTTGTGAGCAAGCACTCTTGTCACCTCTTTCAGGTCACTGATAAAGATATTAAACAGGACAGGTCCCAGTATGGACCCCGTGGTACTCTTGTTTCTGGCCCCCAGGTAGAGGACAACCTATTAACCCCTACCCCCTAAGCCTGATCATAAAATTAGGTTTTTAACTTGCTAGTTGTCTACCCATGAAGACCATAATGCCTTAACTTGGATACAAAAATATGGGAGGCAGTGTCCAAAGCCTGGCTAAAGTTGATGTAAGTGACACCCACTGTTCTTTTTTTCATCCACAAATCTAATCATTTTGTCACAGAAGGCAATTGGGTTGGTCAGGCATGATTTACTGTTGGTAAATCCCCACTGACTAGAGTGACTGGCCCCCAACTACCTTCTCCTTCATGTGATCAAAAATGTTGTCCAAGGAGACTTCATAATTTTCCCAGGGAACAAAGTGAAGCTGCGAAGCCTGTAGTTTCCTGATTTTTTCCTTTGGTCTCTTCTTGATCATGAGTGCAACATCTGCCCTCTTCTAGTTGTCAGGGATCTCCCCCAGTTTCCATGAGTTTTTGAAGATGCTGGAGCATGGGCTTGCAAGGACATCAACCAGTTGTCTCGACACTCTTGGCTGCAGCCTGTTGAGTCCCTTCGATTTGTATGGGTTGAGCACTCGCTAGTAAGCCCTGACTAAGTCCTCACTGTTGGTACTCCTCTTGCTTGAACCCTTTCATTAAGCACAGAGGCCCGAGAGACCTTGTCATTGAAGACTAAGGCAAATGCTCGTTTCCTACGTAGTTCAAATTAACTTGAATTTAAGTGCAATTGCTCTGACTTTATGAAGGCAGTGTGGATAGATTATTTTTATGTAGACCTTCTAATTGGGTCAATCTGCGCTATGATTTATCAAATGAACTATTATGTGACAGCTTACTTTTCTAGTCAAACTGTCTCTGTATCCTAAACACTTTAATTAATGGGGATACATGGGAAAGCTCTTTGTGGTTCATTGAGTGTGTTCACGTGACATTATTTTGCAGAGAAGGTGTGAAGTTCTAATGCTATTTTTGGTGGGACTGTTTCACACTGCACAGGTAGAATCCTTTCAGACAGCTCCTATAGCATGAATGAGTATTTTTGACTCACTAACAATGGAAAAGATGTGGGCAAATAAATTTTTATTTACCTTACAAAAGAATAATATTATTAACTACAGCAAATACCATTATTTGAGATGTGTTCTCCCACACAGAAATAGGATTGGCTGAGAATGTGTTCTTTATTTCCTTAGTTGAAGGCATAAAGGATATTCAGGATATTCTGCTCAGCTAGTTGTGTTAAAATCATCTGTATGCACTCCAGCCCAGCATGTTTGGTAAAAGAGCTTCAGCTTCTGAGAGAAAAATCTTGAAGGACCACAGTTACTATAAATTAAATCATGTTATAAGTTTATTTTTAAGTAGAATTTCTCTGGGAGTGACAATTAATCCAAACTTTAATTTCATATTCTGAATACTTATCCTGTCAGAACTTGGAAGACCTCCAGGATTTCAGACTCTGAATATTTTTACTTGTTTATGAACAGCTTTTTGTGCTGCAAACTAAATAGTTAAATCTTTCCCATTCAAAAACCTCTATTAATTTAACCAATGTAAGAAATAAGGAAATAATAAAGGAAAATTTCTCTCAGTGTGACACTTATTATTGACTATAAAGATAAAAGCTAAAATGTTGGAGGAATGATAGTGTGACATCTAAATGACATGGTTAGTCCTTACATAGCTTTGATTCCATATGGATTTGTAACAGTGGTTGCTAAATCTCAAAAAGAAACTGAGTTTCATTTTTGCTTTAGAACCAAAAGTTCAGATGCTTTTTGGAACTTTGTCCAAACTATCCTCTGTCTTAAATTGCTAAATTTGCCTAACTGTATTATGAAAGAAGGTATTACAGGAGTGCTGGTTTTGCTTGCTTTTATGCAGCCTAGAGGAAGCACTAGTGTACTCTTAGAACTCAGGAAAATAAAAGTAATTTTGCAAAAAGACACAGAAACAAAGTTGTAATTAAGCAAAGCCATTCAAGCGTAGCTTGCCCTGGTTAGAGGATCAATTCAATTTGTATTTTTTCCCAAATTAACTTTCCAGGTTAATATCCTGATCTTACTGAATCAGGTTTTTTTGTGTTTTGTTTTGTGGGTGTTTTGTTTTTTTTTTGGTTTTTTTGTTTTTTTGTTTTTTTTTTTAAATTGACCTCAGTGGTACAAGAACTTCACCCCAACCTGTTATTTTTGATGACATTCTTGAACTGATTGTCTGACCACCTGAATCTCAATGTTTTCAATTTCTTAATGAAGGTCTGCAAACAGGGCCTAAAGCAGACTTCCTAATAAGTCATTTTGCAATCTTTTAAACAGAAAATTACATGAGAAATTTGTGTAATCACTTTTTCAATCTTCCTGACTCTCACTGAAGAGATATAGTCAATTTCCAAATGACTGGCAACAACAAAAAAATCACTGAATGTTTTCAGTGCTCTGCTGGCACACATGGCAGACATTGGCTGTGATGTAGAAACTTTTAGTGGTTGGAGTTTTTGTTTATTTTGGAGTCGTAATAAAAAGTGCTAGATACCCTCTTAGTGATGTGGCTGAATTAGTGGAGGAAAAGCATATGAGAAGACAACCTTTCTTCATCTTGACAGCAGGCAGAACTCTGGAAACAGGGAAACAGCCTCAGGCTGAGTCACATGAAGTGGCCTGTCGTCCTGCGGTGAGGATGGACTGGCCTCCATAGGCTAAACTTTGTGTTTAAAAGCTTGGAAGAATACCCAGGCCTAGATGGCTAGCAAAGCAAACGAGGTATGTTATCGTGTACAGGAGGGAAATAGGGCATCTTCCATTCTCCCTTCATCCCTGGCTGTGTAGGAATGAAGATGGAATTTTGACCAGAAGGTATTCTCTGCAGACTATGCAACAGAACATAGCACTGAACGCTTTTTTCTAGTGGTGAAAGAGGTCTAAATTCTGCACTTCATTAAGCCAAAATTAATAGAATTACTCTTGGTTTATGGCAGTATGTGCAATCTGTACTCGTACCTTACTATTTGATGCTCATGCAAGTGCGTATATACTTCTGTTACGCTTCAGTATACGTTTTGTATCATTTTCAATACTCTTTTTTTATAACTTAGGATACAAAAATAGCTTCACTTGAGCGCAATATAAGAGATCTTGAAGATGAAATACAGATGTTAAAGACAAATGGAGTTCTGAATACAGAGGACCGAGAAGAAGAAATCAAACAAATAGAAGTTTACAAGAGTCACTCAAAGTTCATGAAAAATAAGGTAAGGTCTATTAATAAAATAGCTTAATGCTGTTTATATAATGGAAACAAAAGTTTTAACTTGACCCTTTTCAATACAAGCAGCGCTCTGCTTCTCATCTTTTGGTAAATCTCTACTATGTAATACTCAGTAGCTATGGAGGAGTGAAGCATTTTGGATAAATAAAAATGTGTTTATGTTTTGACTTAGCCTTTTCCTTACCTCTTACTATTTCACCACTTCTGCAGAGGCTATCCTAAGTTTATACCATGTTCCCTTTTTCCTTCCCTGGGAATGGTGTTTTAATGTTGCCTTTTTGAATTAGTTCCTAATTTTGACTTGCACCATTTTGGCACAACTTTAATTGTGCATTTTTTTCTGGTTTTGACTGTAGTTTTACAGTAAGGACTGCTGTTCCATAGTTGATGCCAAACTGTAATCTTCTAGTATTTTAAAGACTTGCAAATTGATGACTTTGTTCCTGCAGAGTACCTTTCATTTGAAATTATTGGACATAGATAATTATGAGTTGACCACAAGCAGATAGTAAGTGTGTAGTGATGTGATACATTTCCTGGTATCAAGCTCACAAAACAGTATTGCTTGTTCATGATTTTAAAATACATCAGAAGTAAAGCTTGATGTTCAAAATCGTTGTCTCAGCTGGTCTTTTTACCTCCTTGCATCTTGATGTGCTCAGCTTCTGTCTAGGTAAAGATGAGCACTCCAAATAGCCTTCCTTGTGAGTTCTAATACTTATTTTCTGATATTTTTATAATTGCCTTAAAAATCATAATAAATATGTAGAATGTTACCGTTTCTGCTGGTTTATCCCCAGCTCTGTACCTTGAATGTGTTTTGTTTATGAAGTGATAAAATACTGAATTGAAGTGGTAAATTAAAAAAAAAAAGTTTGAAATTATGGAGTCTGAAGCAGACGTTCCCATTCTTGTAAATAAATTTAGGTTTTGGAAATAGCATTATTTGTATATTATTTATAAGCTAAACTAAGATGGGGTGAAACAAGTCACAACAGCCTGAAGTGGAAACACTGAAGAGGAAAGCCAGCTACTGCATCTCTTGCAGTGATGTTAAAAACTTGACCATAAAGCCAGAATAAAATACAGGCAAACAACTTCAGTAGTCGTGATTATTATGCAATCTTACTTTATTTTAAAAGTCATTCAATCCCAGTTATTTATTTGGGTTCTTACTCTGTTTAATATTTAGGAGTTTTTGTGTATGGGAAAATTGTGTGTGTGAAATTGTAGGGAACTAAGAGGGATTGATTCACTTTTTCTGAAATGTGTACTTGCAGCTCTGAAAAAACTGCTTGGGGAGGAACTGGTACTATTACCTGTCTAGAAGCTATGTAAGCAAAACAAGTAGGAGTCAATTGGCTTAAAAGTGTAGCTCTCTGCCTACTATTGTCTGTTGCTGCTAAAACTACTTAGCAATGTTGCTGTTTAAGTACAAAGTTTGCAATATAAGGTAGATAAATACCATTACCACTCTTTCAGAGTTGGACAAGCTACGATTCAGAGAAAGTATGGAGCTTGTCTCTGGTCAGAGAATGAAAAGGCGCCAACACCTTTTGGAGAATCTGAGTTCTCTGATTTTCAGTTTTCTTTTGTAAATTAGATCTTCGTTATCTTCTTGACAAGTTGCTTTTACTTTGCCTGAATTCCACAGTGAGTATAGGAGTAAGAATATTCACCACTGTGTAGTATTGGATACTAGAGATTATCCATCTCAGAAGAGCTGTTACTGTCTCCCAGTTTGGAAACTTAATATCTTGTAAACTACATCACAGGAAACGCTGGTGTCTTGGGACATTGGGGCATATTTTTATCTTCTCTTGGGGGTTTGTGCTACAGAAGAAATGGAAGTGTTAGTGCCTATGTGGAATTAATCCAGATTTATTTAAAAAAAAAACCAAACAAAACAAACAACCAACACATCAAAGTAGATATTTATTCTGTTGAAAAAAATTAAGCTCTTAAGCTACTGAAAAGCAGCTGAAGTTCCCAAGTAGCATCATCACCAGGAAAATTATTTTTCCTATTTAAACATCACTAATTTCAAAGCAATTAATTTTTAGTAATTTACAGCAAAACTCCTAATGCATCTCAGCAAATCTGTTGATATAAACATAATGTACAAAGCCTAGTATTTTGTTAACAATTTTCTGATGTTTTTGAGAGGAAAAGCTTCAGTATATTTCTATGGCCCAGAAAGCAGACAAATGAGAGGACTATTAAACATGCCTTGTTTTGTCACAATCTTCTGATCTTTGATAAATGCCACATTCTGATGATACTTCGTCTGTTTTCTTTCACCAGTCCTTTTCTTCCACTTAAAATTGAGATTTGCAGCAGAAGATAGTATTTTCATTATTCATCTGAGAACCTTTCAAGGTAGAAGAGTATTTGTGTAGCTGTCAGCAAACAGATCTTATTATACCTTATCTATTGAACCCAAGATTGTTGATAAATTCTGATAAACGGAAGTCTTGACTGATGGCAAAGAGCAGAACAAAACTTTTCTCGCAGTTAACAGTCTAAGGTGCTATAAAGCTCTTAATCTTGAAGTATAACTTGTTTTAAATCTGTTCTTGATTTAAATAAATGGGAAGGTGTTAAATGGAGGCCAATACCGAATATTATTTATTGTACCCGAGTGGCAGAGAATGTTGGGAAGTGTTCCTTTTTTTAACACTCCTTCCAAATATATAGGCTTTAATTTTGACTTGCAATTAAATAAAAGTTGTAGAAATGAGAAAGAAAACGTGCTTAGATTCCCCTCTCGCCTTAGATGAGGACTCTTCTTGCTCTGTTTTTGAAGGGACAAAAATTGCTGTCACTCTCATGACACAGAAGTTGTCAAATCAAGTCTTAAAGTTTTCATGACTAAGGGATAGGAAGCTTTAAATATCTTCATTAAGGATATGAAGAAAACATATAGGTTGATACGCATTTTTAAACATAATTACTGCTTTGCAAGACTTCCTTCTCTTACTAGGGTCCATCCTTTGGCTAGCAGCCAGCTATTTAAAGGAACACTGCTGCATTTTTTCAGGTGCTAGTTTGCACTCTGGAATTTAAGTAGTTCTTTCAGCATTAGAATTCTCATGCTATTGACAGGAATGAGTATGAAAATCTAGTGATAGTTCAGTGCAACTTCATCAAATTACCATTAAGATCAGTTTTAGTAATTGATTAGGCTGTAACAAGGCACTCTGTAATTAATGTCTGCGTATAAGAATTTTTCACACTGTATGAAGGAAGCATGAAAGTTCTAGGTGATCCTGTAGAAGAAATACAGAGGGAAAGAACTACAGCGTTTTTTTTATGGATAGGACTTGAAATGCGATAAACGCTTTAAAAGTAGACCTTGACCTATAACTTGTAGAATCTACAGATGGACTTGTAGAGTCTACTGTATGTACCCGCTTCACTTCATTTGTGTTGCTACTGGTTTTACTTTACTTAAATCCTTCACTTTAAAAAGCGGTTGTCATTTGTGACATAAGACCAGATCCTTATGATGTGTAAATCAGCATAAGTTCATTTAATGGAATTATTTACTTAAAGATTTAGCCCATTAGTCCATTAATTTTAATATGCAATATTCAGGGGAAAAGCTCTAATTGTTTGTTTTGTTTTCGTTTCCCAGTTACTGTATGTAATGTCATCTAAGATTTTGGTGTCGAGAAATAATAATGTAAGAAAAAGGATAATGGTTTTCTGGAAGTGCTGTTGTCTCAGGAACTGAAGTTGGGGGAGATGACTGAGAGTCATAAATTGAGAAGCAAGACAAAGGAACTAGGGTTTCAGGAAAGGAGGTGAAGCAGGATCATATTGGACAATGTTGAAAAAGCAGTGACAGGCAAATTACGCATATGAAATATGTGAGATAGTGGGGAGGTCAGGATCAGAGGATAAACTTGGAGTTCTTTAGATGCTACAGCACTTATACCCAGGCTTGTAGGTTATCTTCATTGTAGTCTTTATAAAGTACAAAAGTGTTTCTGCCTTTGTCTTTTTTTGTACTGAGATCAGGAGATCTCTTGAATCATGACTGTTGGTCTTCCACACTTCCACAGAAAGTGAAAATGTTTGCACATCTACTGGAGACAGAAATTTATTTCATGCCCTGTTTATTTTGTCTTATATACTAATAGATAATGCAGAACTTTAAAAAAGCGAATATACCCAGGTCTAAAAATGTCTTTTTAAAAGTTACATAACTTTTCTTGTTATGTCTTTGGTATTTTTGAGACTTTTTTTTTCTCCAATTGAAATTTTAGTACATTTTCACCACTATACTTTATTTTAATAAAACACCAGCCAAAAGCATAATTATTCAAGCCTTTTTCTTTGGGGGGGAAGGAGGGGTTAATTTATTTTTTTTATTTGAGAGCTCTAGCACATTTTTAAACTCCTGGCAATTTGTAGGTCTTGTAGCCAGAACTTTATACTAAACAGATTCTGTTTCTAAAACACAAAGAACATACCTGCAATGAAAATGAAGCTTTTTTTTTTGTTGATTATTTCTCAGGATGTGGGTTGTGTCATGGAAAAAAGCGGGAAGAGTTTCTAGGAGAGATTAAGCATCTGTGATGTTCACATGGGTCTCGTATAGAGCATGTGATGTAATTCAGATTGGCTGCAGATTTATGTTTTGTCTTTATATCTTGTAGGCAGATTTTCCCATTGTTCATTTTGTATACATTTTTGTCTCGGTTGCTATACTTGCTTACATATTCTGGCAAGGGATGGAGGAAGGTCGTTTGCTTTCAAGGGAAAGTTTTCTCTAGCAGTTTCTTAACTGCACTCTTTCTACTTTCTTGACATCTGTTTTTTGTATGCTTCTTTTCTTATTTTCATTTTTTCAGACTGTGAAGGTGATTGCTTCTTAGTGCCAGTGTAGATTCTTGATTTTATACAGTAGCTCAGAGGTGGTTAGCCAAGTACCTTTACCAGCTAGACAAACATTGAGATTTATAAAGAGAAATAATGATATAGAATAAATATGTTAAGACGTGCGTATGGACTACATTTAGAAGAAACATTTTTTCATGTAATTTTTAAGGATACACTTGCAATGTAAAACAAAATAGAAATATTTTGATCAGCAGTAAATGTTTCCAGTGACTGTGCCATACCACATTGAATCTGTGAAATATTTTACTATGCCAGTCTTTAGGACGTGGTTGAGTAGGATCAGCCTGTGGATACACATTCTTTTTTCCTGGGGATTTTTTAATTGCCTTCCAACTAGCCCTTTTAGATTTCTTGCATCCCAAACGTCTGTTGGGATGCAACTGATGGGAGAGAATGGAAGGAGATCTTCTAGCACTACTATGGTAGTTGCAGAATTGAAACTTGAATTTTGGAGAAAAATTTCTAGGCCTTACAGTCATCAAGAAGACTTTCCAAATCTAAAGGAAGTGTGGTTTCTCTGACTTATGCAGATGCACTGAAGTGTTTTATTTCAAATAATCCTCATGAGATGATATATGTGAACTCATCTGGTGACCAGTGTTATTTCACAGGACTTTAAGAATAGTTACATGTCACCTAATTCGCCATCCTTTAAAATCATTCTGTGTATTGTCCAGTGCTTTGTTCAGATTCATATATTCTAAATCCACCACGCTTTCTCATTCTGCAGCTACCCCTCCTATTTATGATTGTGAAAGGGGAAGATTAATCACAATTCAGTGATATTTGATGATGAACCTTAAAGTCAAGTTCAGAAGCTTCTTGATAGTGACTGGGTTTGTACTGTTTCCCCTAGGATACACTTTTATAATCTTACAGACCTTTCACTCTGTGGACTTTTTTATAACTTTTCCCCCAGACTTCTCTTAAGTTAATCTCTTTGGCGTGGCTTTCCTAGTACCTGAGAATTCCATATGAACTGCCAGGGAGGAAAAAAGGAGGTGGGAATGGTGGGCAGCAACACATTTGCAAGAAGAGTAAGGTTAAAATTCGACTTCTCTGTTTTCCTCTCCTTACTAGATGCCTGCTTTTCCTTACCAGGCTCCTGAAAAACCTTGATTCACTCTGGCGAATGATAAGCCACAAGAATCATGCTGTTGGAAGGAATAGGCTATTGGATTGAATTTATACTTTTATGAACACTTTTTTCCTATGCATTTTTGCTGTCCTGCCAGACTTGCCTTGCACGGGATAAATTCCTTTGAACGTAAGTGAGGTCCATGGTGAATTTATAGGCCACATCATCATGTATAATCTTTAAGAGTTTCCTTTTAACTTCTGCAACAGCAGGGCAATAATTCTTATGACAGGGTACGTTAAATTACAAGATACTTAACTGAAGTTGTGAGTGTAAAATGTCCAGATCTTAATTCTCTGCTAGAATTTACAGGTGTCTGAGTTGTCATATCGTGGTTGTTCACAATTTTCAGATTTCAAGTGCAAGTAGGAATCGGAAATGAAATTAATGATCTAACTTTTTTTTTTTATTCCCCATTACAGATTGACCAACTGAAACAAGAACTCTCAAAGAAAGAATCAGAACTTCTTGCCTTACAAACTAAGCTTGAAACCCTTAGCAATCAGAATTCAGATTGCAAGCAACATATCGAAGTGCTTAAAGAGTCACTTACTGCCAAAGAACAGAGAGCTGCCATACTTCAGACAGAGGTATTCTATCTTCTAATCATAAAATGCAATAGAAATATTTAGTTAATAGCATGTGTCAAGGTGATGATGTGTTTGTTGCAAGTGTGTGTAGAAGGCAATTTGTTTAACAAGAGTGAAATAATTTAAAATCCTTTAAATGCCAATATATTTGGTATCTATTTTTTGGTGGTAAACCAGCTCTGATTCTATAATTTCTTTAGAAGCACCTATGATAGCATTTTATGAAAATGTTTGTGCCTCATTCTCGTTGGCTGTAATGGAGGGAGCTGGGCCTTAATTGCTTGGTTGTTGTGATTTCATTTCTTGTTTCTTCATCTATTAGTTGACTGAGTTTTCCTTTTGGTTACTTTGGCTTGATGCTTCTTTTCTACTGTGTATTTCTATTCTAACGAGTGAAGCTACAGAAGTATTTTGAAGGGATCTGTTGAAGGGTGCATGATATTAATCTGTGGTTATTGTTTTGAGTGCAATCAACATTTATTTTAAAATAGGAATAATTGGAGCCTTTAAAAAAGGCCAGTGCAATAGTTATGTACGTATCTCCAAAGTCAGATCATAAAAATGTGGGTAATGGGATACACAGTTGAGATGGCTGTCACATTTGATGGAATATGTAAATCCAGTGTTAAAAATGTTGTCCGCTAGTTCATTTCCTGGGGTTTTAAAAAACTTCATAGACTTGGAGCACACAATACTGATTGTATTGATTCCTGTTACAACTTCTTCATTGTATTTTTAATGTGTTTACCCCTTCCAAGAAACAGAAATACCTGTGGAAATCAGTCATACAGTGCGAATAGTTTCTCTTCAGAGAAGTAGATTATTTAAGGTATTCAGGAATCTTACAGAATGTTTCAAATTTCTGGCTAACAAAGCTCTTGGAGAAAAAACAGCTTAAACTCTTCATTCTCATGGAAGCAGGAAATAAATATTTCTAAGGTTCCGATTATCCCTCTGTGCTGTATGTATTATCCTCTGTACATTAAGAAGATACAGATGAAATCTTGGAATTTCCAGCTTGTGTTTAATGGCCCAGCCAGCATATGTATATAATACAAAATAATAATAATAGAGCAAGGGTAAAAACTCCAGCAATTTTGGCAGATCTCAATCTAGCTTTTGAGTAGCAAAGATTATGTATTTTAAATCTTTAGCTGTGCAAATCTGTTTTGCAAGATTTGTATTACCTGTCATGCTGCTGAGGATGGTGATGAATTCCATTGGCTCTCCACTAATTTGTCTTCCTAATTCTTTGTCAAACTGGTATGTATTCAAGGTGTTTATAGTCTTATGGCTGGCACATGGGCAATGGTACAAAAGAGCTGAATCTACAGTGCTTTTGATGAAGAGCTGCTCTGCTGGGGTTGTGCAGTCCTGGTAGAGAACCGTTTGGTTTCTGGCAGGTATTCAATTCCTCCTCTTCCCAGTTTCTACATAAGGCAGTTGAGCTTGAATGTTTTATGTGAAACAATCTAAGTTAAAATTAGCTGTAACTGCCTGTTGGTATGTAGGTGACAGTTGGTTGTATTGTGTCTGCTTATTCTTAGTCTCTCAGGGAAACCAAATGAAAAATTAATGTTAAAATGATCAGAGAGGTAGTGTGATAGAAGGTATGCTGTATAATAGCAGAGAGTGAATCCCTTTTGTTTGGCCTAATATCACGTTAATTGGGATATAAGTGATTGTGAGATTTCGTACAAATAATATGAGATTCTTCCAGCTTTCAGTGAAAAAAAATTATCTGTAAGCTAGGTAGATCGTTGCAGATAAGAGACTCAAAAATGAAGCAAAACAACTTATAAATGTCCTCACAGTATATCTTGGTTCTGGACAGTTAAGGCTGTCTCTGCATGGACTTGCTAAACATTAAGCCTGAATTTGTTTGTGACTTGAATCTTCAGAAATTGTGGCTTTTATTTCATATGCATTATTGTCAGACTTTGGTAATTACATTACCTCATAAGTTGATGAAGCTTTTAAACACTGCAAACTATTTTTTATTCCCCATAGAAATCTAGGGGATTTCCATTTTCTGCTTTTGGTATACATAATGGTTTTATAAGACAACAGTTTTTTTGAGTTTCTTTTCTCTTTTTGAGATATCTTTGTAAAGGGAGTTGGGGAAAGCTGGTGAATTGTGTCCACCTCTTACAGGAAGTAACTTTAGTTAACACTTGCTGTAATTGTCCATGTACAGGCAGCTTTTGGCAGAAGGGTCACATAAACGTAACTTCCTTTTTTTTTTTTTTTCTGGGAGATCATATGAAAATGAAGGCTATTGAGTATGGAGTTAATGCCAGACTTTATTTTGGGATATGATATATCTCAAGATGCATTAGAAGCAACATAAAGAAAACAAGTTCCAGTTATACACATGTATTGATGGAGCCACTATTTCAAATGGTTTACCAAATAATTTAGATCTATAATAGCAGATTTGAAATGGGAAACAACTTCACGTGCCTCAATTTCTTCTATTTACGTTTGAAAAGACGCTCTTATATGCACCGTTTACCTATGAGGCAGAGACTTTAAATAACCTGTATTAAGTTATGTCAGCAATTTACCTGATCTCAAAATACTTTAATAATATGCATACTCTGGGCAAAATTCATTACGTCTCATTTTTTTGTGCATTTAAGACGCACTGAATTTTTGTTACTTTCCTGTACTTCATGGTGGAGATGTAGCGCATCTCAAATCTGCTGAAAAAGATCTTTACTTTTATGTTATAGGTAGAAATAAAGCATACTGTGCACCCATTAGTTTCTCAAGCCAGGATTTGTCAGGAAAGAACAGTACTTTTGTTTTTTATTTTAAAGCCTCAAGGTTGTTTTAGGCACGTCAGAGGCTGTACAACTTTCCTTCTAGAAGATTAGATATTCGGGGGTTAGAAATGAAGAGCAGTTTGAGGATTTAAATAATATTGAGGCTTGCAAAAGGTAAGTGGTTAGTCTGAACATACTTTTCACCTCTTTTGTATAGACTGTGAATCAAGAGCCCCTTAAAACTACTGAGCTATCCGGTCTTGTTTCCTGGAATGGAGTCTTACAGCAGCTTTCAGCTCATAAGATAATACACTCATATAACCAAATGCAGGATTTGTCATAAATTGCTGGGTAACTATGTGAGAATGTTACTTGCGTTCTCTAACAATCATGAAAACAAGTGACAGATCTCTGTGTCCAAGCAATTTCACAGATTAGAATATAAGATTCTTGAAGGCTGATGTGCATGTTCTAATGACGTTCTGTTGTTACATATTTTTAAGACCCCCAGGGTTTCAGCACATTCCTTACCACCCTGCAGTATACTAGGGAGTTTTTCTGGTTAAAAATGATTGCTGGGATGTGTCTTCTTCACAAACTATTATGTTATAACTTCCAGACTGGGTGTGCAGTTTATTGGGGAGTGTGTCTGTTAAACTGTGGGCGTTCTGGAGAAATGTGCTGGAGTTCTGAGGAACACACAAGCTGGACAGCGGCTGAATTTGTAGATTGCTACCTCTGCTCCTGTAGGCCAAAGTCCTTGTTTCTTACAAACATTTAGACAAAAACAGGAAGAACAAATCCGTTACATAAGTGACATGTTGGTTATGTGTGAGAAACTAAATGTGGGCTAATTCCAAGTATCAGTGGAGGCCATCGATGTTTTGTTTCTGGTATATCTATTAAGCCGTGTTAAATTAAATAACAAACCAGCAGCAAATCTAATGCAGCTCATACATTTTCTGCAGAAAATACAATCCCTGCAACAAAAGAGCCATGATAGGATGAGAGGCTTTCTGTGGGCTAAACCCAGGATCCTTCTTACTGAAGACCTGAAAATGAGCAAGTGTTATTTATGTGGTGATCCGAGCACGTGGCCTGCTGGTGTGGATGGATGAGGAATAAAAGTACTGCTTTGCCAGCTGGGTTCTCTCTGAGACCTGGGTTTTAAGCTGACGAAGTTAAGGCCTAGACTATGCTGTGGTAGCAATCCAGAAATGATTCTAGACATATAGCAGGTTTTGTTCTCTGCAACTGGGAATGGGGAAAAGATTTTGTTTGCTTAGAGCAACTGGAATCTTCTGTTTCCAGGCCTCAGGTCTTATCTAAAGGGAGGGCAATGGGCTTCCAGCTGCAGATGGGAAAGCAGCTGCAGGGAGATGCAGGACGAATGGCAGCCCTCCAGCAGGTGGAAATCATTATGGAAGGAATTTTGTACTGTATAAGCTATTGTTGGTCGTTCCCTGACGAGTAGGGTTAATAACATTTTGGCCTGCATTAAGCTGCACTCCTTTCTTCCTGTATGTCCACATTGTCTATTTGTAGAACAGATAGTTTTTCTTAATTATCGCATAGAATTTTATGCTGTCCTAAAACATGCTCATAACCTGCCTTGAAGGGCTTCTTTCTGGAGGTGAAAGTAACCATCAAAGTCCAGTTCTCATCTTGAGCTGAGTAATGTATTTGTAGTTGCGGTGTCAACTTCCTGCCTAAATAGGATTACTTTGTAATCACCTTGTTGTAATTAAATCAGTTTAGTAAGTCCTGTAATAACAGAAATCCTCAACAGGTTCTCAGTTACTTCATACCAAGCCTTTTATTATTATTTAGCTTAGTAATCGTACTCTGCAGGTTATCTTCAGGTTTTGAAAACAGCAGCTGCATATGATGCAACAGAATGTGATTCATAGAATCACATAATGGTTGAGGTTGGAAGGGATCTCTGGAGCTCGTCTGGTCCACACACTCTGCTCAAGCAGGGCCACCTAGAGCTGGTTGTCCAGAACCATGTCCAGATGGCTTTTGAATACGTCCAAGGATGGAGACTCTGCGACCTCTCTGGGCAACATGTGCCAGTGCTCAGTCATCCTCACAGTAATGTTTCCTGATGTTCAGAAGGAACCTCCTGTGTTTCAGTCAGTGCCCATTGCCTCTTGTCCTGTCACTGGGCACCACTGAAAAGCCTGGCTCTATCTTCTTTACGTCTTCCCTTTGGATATTTATACACAGTGA